TGCTCCAGCCGCAGCCGCTCCTCCTCAGCCCGGCGCTTCTCCTCCAGCCGCCGATTCTCTTCCTCCTTCTGCAGGGACAACAGCCCACTCAGCCTGTGCTGGCACCTGGCTTCACAGGTACGGGGTCAAGAGGGAGACAAGAGCCTAGTAGTCACCTGCCCTATGACTCCGTTGAGCCAGCTGCACACAGCCCAGCTGTGCAGAATGCAGTCAGGGCCCCAACCCCAGCACTCACCTCGGCTTTGGCCCAAAAGCTATCCTTGCCAACCCTCTTGATCTCGGACATGGCATTGGTCTTCTGGTACACGGAGCCCTGTGGGCACAGAGCACATGCTAGGGCCCCAGCCAGGGGGAGGGCCAGGCCCAGGCCTGGAAAGCACAATGATACCTGCCCACCCCTCTCAAGGAGATGGCACCATGGAGTCCAGAAAGAGGCCAGGAAACTGCCCAGCAGGGAGCTGAATCCTGACACTGGAGGCCCCTCTGGTGGCAGCCAGGCTGTATGCATGGGGGCCAGGGCAGGAAGGGCCCTGTCTGCAGGCGCCTCTGAGCCAGGGTTCCACCAGGCCACTCCTCCAACAGCTGACTGGCAGGAATGCACCCAAAGGAGTCACCTCAGACCCACCACAGGTCTCTCACTGTGGTTCCTGGCTGTCAGTTCCAGCCAGTGCCAGGGCAGCAGGCTGCCAGGTGTCACTCACTCAGAGAGTCTCTGGCTTTGGGCTCTGTTCTGACACCTCCTGAAGTTATGCCATGTGGCTAATGCCAGGGGGCACCCAGGTCCTGGCCATGCATTCCAGGGTCATGGCTACCTTGCCCTCGCACAGCTGGGTCTTGATAGAGCTCCAGAATGCCTGGTACAACCACCGGGTGGGATCGGTGCCCACTGGGGCTTGGGTCCCCATCTGCGGAAGCCAGGCAGGAGGGCCAGTGATGGGTGGCAGCACTCACCACTGGGGCCTGGGGGCCTGTGTCCTGGAAGCGGCCACTCTCCCTATGGAAGCTGTAGTTGGCCCCAGAGGCCTTGGCCACCTTCTCCATGATGCACTCAGGCTCCACATCCTCCTCAGCCCTCGCGTTGATGGTCACGTGGGCCCCCTGAAGCGGGAATGGCACTCAGAAGACAGCTTTGAGAACCCAGGGAAGACAGGCCTCGTCCCTTCTGTCCACACAGCACAGCCCCACTGCGCTCAGGCTGGAGTCAAATACCCGGGGCACCTGTCTGGCTGCTGGGAACCAGGCCCTGCCCTGTGCTGCAGGTGCTGTGTGGGCCCTGCTATGGCTTAGTAGCCACCAGGCAGCTGCACAAAAAGCCTCCCTTCTGTCAGTGCACATTATTAAGGGGTCTCCTGGAAATAGGCACTTTCTACAAAAGCGAGTCACTCGTTTCTTCCTGAGAAGAAGACTATGACCTTATTCACTGCTCCTATGGAAGACTGGAAGCCTCAATGGGGCTCAGCAGCAGAGCACATGCCTAGCATGCAGGGGGTTCTATTCAGCACTGCAAAAGAAGCCAAACACCAAAAACCAAAAACCAAAAACCACCAGCCTCTCTTCCAGCTACTAGATGGAAAAACTGAGACTATCTGAAGACACAGCAGCAGACCAGAGTCTCCCCACAGCAACTGAGGGAATGCAGAAAGCCACCTGACCAGGAAGCTACAAATAACTTTTGACAAAAATGCTTTCAAAACTGAATCCCAGTGCTGCTATGGGACACCTGCCATGAATACTCGCAGAGACAGTCTGGACAGAAACCCAACAAAGATGCACAGAGACCTCATCCTTTCTCCAAGTCCTGACAATGTCACTGGACTGTTTAGATGGATCACAGATGAAAGAGAACCAGGCCCGGCCTCACCCACTGGGTCAGCTCCAGCATGGCCCTTCACCCTTCTCTGCTGAGGACATCCTGCTCTGGACACTTCCCTGCCTCCTGGGCCCTTGCCAACTCTGAGAGCCAGGCGAGCCCACATTATGGGCTTGCTCCTGATCCCAGCTCACTCGCCCCAAGAACCTGGGGTACTAATCCCTCGAGCCCCTCCTAGGCAGCCGGAAGGGCTCAGCCCTCACCTTGAGGAAGTTGGCCATAGTGCTGACGTGGTTGGCGCATGCTCCCTTCCGCACATCATTCACGCCCTCGCCTGTCTGCAACACAAGCACACTCAGCATGATCCAGGCCTCCTCCAGAAGCCACTTCCCTTCCCACAAGTTCCCATGGACCCAGTAACTTCCTGTCTCCCCTAAGAGAAAGGCTCCCAGAGCAGAAGCCACTCTACCTAACGACCCATCACAGAGATAGCCCTCCCACCTCCCAGCAAACGGGCAGGGACTCTCTGTGGCCTCGGCTGCTGGTGTCCACATGGGGGCATTTCCTCAGCCCCAGTGTGGGTTCCACTGACCCTGCTGTCTGCCAGGCCCTCTGTACCCTAACCCAAAGAAATGGGGCAGGAATTTTCCATTTTTACTCCCTTTTGCAGGTATAATTCTGGCTTGGAGGATGAGTTCTGTGTAGTAACAGCAGTCATTCTTTTGTTGTTATTGTTTACAATAAGGTTTTACTATGTACTTTAAATTGGCTTTAAACTCTATATGCATAGCCCAGCCCAGGTGATCCTCCTGCCTCAGCTTCCCAAATGCTGGGATTACAGGCATGCATAACCATGCCCAGCTTTAACCAGTTATTCTTTAGGTCACAAAGAATTCAGTTTGTATTCTCATTTTCTGCTCAAGTTCCTGAAGTTAAGTCAAAGCAGGCAAAGACAGGGACTTTCCCAGGTCACACGAGACAAGACAGGACAGTTCCACATACCCAATTGATGAGGACAAACTTGGGCAGGCCAGAGTTGGGGTCCTTCACCCTGCAGAAGGCGTACATCACCTTCCCGCTGTTAAGCTCCTCCACCAGCTCCTCTAGGCCACCCTCTGCAGAGTCACAGCGAGGGTCAGCATGGCTGTGCCCCAGGACCTTCCCACCAGGGCTTCGCACCCCACCGACTTCAGAACCACCCTGGGGCTGGGCAGTGGCAGTGGCAGAGCACTTGCCTGTGATGCTCAAGGCCCAAGTGCCATCCTCAGTGCAGCAAAAAATGAAATCAGACTCCTGGGTTCCACCAGCTGGGACCCAGGAATTTGCTTTGCTGACAGGTACCTCAAGTTTTAGTCACACTCATTTAAAAACCACGCCTCTAAACCCTCAAATAACTCTGAGAGTAGAAAAGCCACTACAGACTGGCTACAGACTTGCAAATGGCTCTCACATCAGCTGTGCTGGCACCTGGACCCCTGAAGAGCCCAGGACACATGTGTCCTCCAAATGTCAGTGCCATTTCAAGGACTGGACCTTTTGAAGTGTCCTGCAGCTGACACCACTCTCCCTTGCCATGGACTGTGGCCCCTGAACCTCCCCATTTTGTGGAACCAGGCAGAAGTGGCGCTGTGGGCTGCAGAGGCCCTGGGGCTGCCAATGGGCTGTGCTCACAGCAGAGTCCAGCATGGTACCACCAGGGCAAAAGCAGGAGACTCACAGACTGCTGAGCTCTGCAGTTCCCAGGCAGCCACCACATCACATGAAAGGACCATTCAATGCAATCCTTCTAGAAAGAGGCCGAGGCCAGAAGAGCTTGCAGAGGAAGGGACTTTCTATCAAAAGCAACAGTAACCACACTTGTCTGGCCAAGGAGAGAATGTTCTAGGTACTCATGGAACAATTAGTCCAGGTCCTGCCCAGGACTGGGAGTGGGGTGGGCCGGGTGTGGCCTCAGCCTGGGAGGAACCAGGGGAACCAGTGGGGTGTGCAGGTCACACCCCAGCATCTGGGGCTCAGCCTACATGCCAGCTTCTGCCCAGTGGCAGCCAGGAGCAGGAACCCAACTCCCAAGAATCCCCAATAGGGTCCCTCTGGCCACCTGCAGGGACATGGCCTCTCCCCAGGGAGATCTGCGTGCACTTGCAACATGGCTGGGGCAGGACACGACTGTGGCTCTTTCCCACCTGTACCAGCTATGAGAGTGGCATCCTCCAGCTGCAGCCCGGGGACACAGGCTGTCCATAAGCCGGCTGCTTCCCCTTGCCTCTTCCCACAAACCTGGAAGACAGCAGCGCTGCGCCGTGCCCAGGCCAGGAGACCTGAGGAAGAATGTGTGCTTCTCTCACAAACTCCTGAAGCCCAGAGCTTGCCTGTGCTAACCAAAGCTCTGGCCTATCCTGTCCAGTGCCAGTCTGCATCCCAACAGGCATCCAGGGAAGCCTCAGTGGCGCCGACGTGGGGTGGGAATTCGGGTGGCAGACATAGGGAAGTGTCACTAGTTGAGCCTGCCTTCCTGAGTCCCCTGTGTCCTGCTGCTATGACTAAATGTGAGATGAGAGGGACTGATGACCCTCAAAACGTTCACCCTCCTGCCTCCTGGGGCTGAGCTCACTTGGGCCATACTCACCCCCAGTGCCGGCCACACGGATGTCATTGCTGTTGCCCTCGTAGGTAAAGAGAGCCCTGAAACAAAACACAAGCTGGGTCAGGGGCTGGTGGCAGCAGACACACAGCCTGGCTCTGCCCTGCCGGGACTTACAGGGCAGGTTCTGGAAGGTTGCTCTGCAGCTGACTACCCTGGGGCAGGAGAGCTATGAGGGACAAAGCCCAGAGATGAAGATTTGAGGCACACAGCCACTTAGAGAAAAAAGTCAGTCAGCTATAGAGTTTAAAATAACTTTCTACACATTCCTGTGTGAGATGCTCATCTGGCTACCAGGTGTAGGAGTTTGAAAGATAAAAGATGCCTGAACCCAAAGCACCCCTGTGGAGGAGGAAGAGCAGGAGAGAGACACATGGGCTGCCTGTCAGCCCCCCCACCCTTTTGCAGTACTAGGGATGAAAGCCAGGGCCTTGCCCATACTAGGAAAGCTCTCTACCACTGAGTCACATCCCTTGCCCTCCTGTAAGACTATTTATGAGACTCTGGAAAAGATGTGCCTCATAAACTTGTGCCCCAGTGGTGGTGAGGAAATAGAGTAAATGTCATTAAATCTGAGCCACACAAAGGCCCTCAACCAGAACAAAGGTTATGAATAACATTCCAGAAATACTGTCAGGTGTGGTGGTGCACACCTGTAATCCTAGCACTTGTAAGGCTGAGTGAGGGAGGAGGATTCCACAAGTTCCAGGCTAACCTAGGCTACATAGTGAGTTCAAAACCAGCTTGAACTAAATAGTGAGACTGTCTCAAAAAAACTAAAAGAATGGGCCAGGGATTTAGCTCAGTGGCACTGCACCAGCCTTGAAAGCACAAGGTGCAAAGTTCAATCCCTGATACAAAAAAATAAAAAAGAACTCCCAGAAGAGGTGGTATCCAATAGGCATGCTATGCATGAGGCTCTCGGTAAGCTCAGCTGCCAGCACCAACTCTGTACTGCAAGTCAAAGGCAAAAAGCCATCCAGGGTCTGTCTCCTCCCAGTTACAGATGAGCTAGATGGAAGCTCCAGGGGTAAGGGACTTGCCTATGCCACTGAGCAATGTGTACGCCTGAGAAAGACCAAAGAAATCAGACCTGGCCAGTAGGTAGACACAGGGCATAAGGAAAGAACTGCTACTTCCCAGCAGAGGAATTGGAATCCAGCAGGAGATGCACTGAGAGGCAAGACCACAGGAATAGGAGAAAGATGTAGTATGGTGGTGGTGAACCTGTGGCACGCATGCCACAGTGGGCTGTTTGAAAGCTCTGAAAGGTTCACCATCACTGATGTAGGAGGAAGTAGATGTTTCGCCTGAGTTGCTGGAGCTCTCTGGAGGAAAGGAGCCCATTCCTCTTGATGGCCATAAACCCTAGTTACTGTAGCACAGGGACTGGCACAAGCAGCAGGGAACAGAAGTTGGTAGCTTGGCCCTGCCAAGAGGGGATCTGACAGCTAATAAGGCCAAGCTCAGTGCCTGCTCCTTCCGCCTCCAACTTCATCATCCCCCGCCCCCAAGGCTCCACTCTTAACCATCTTCAAACATGTTCCCAGTTTAGAGGCTCATTTCTACCTTTCATGAAGTTCCACTCTTCTTTCAGTCAGCATGAAAAAACAGTGCGAAGGCCTGGGCATGGCAAGGAAGTACAGGCTGTCACAAACCTTATTGCTCTTTCCAAATATGTGCTGAGAATCTATGTTGATGGTGATAGGTAGGCAGGTACGAAAGGCCCTGCCCAGGGAACTGACCTTTTAACAGGAGACAAAACACACACATAAAGCTAATGTCCTGTTCAGCAGTGACACAGGCACAGGAGGTGATGTATAAACGGCATGAAAACAAATTATGCCAAGATCTGGGAGGAGAGGGCTGGAGACAGACCCAAGATGGAGTGTGGAGGTTCTGGCCTCGGCCTCGTACAAGGCTACTTGCACTGTGTGAAACTCTTTACAAATTGCAGGCCTCATCTATTGCTTTTTCTATACGCTTAGTCCATCGATCGTGTGAGTAGCCAGCCACTACACGTAACAACTCACACCACAGACTGCGGACAGAGGTAGAGCCCACTAGATTCTTCTAGTAAAGAGATAAAGGTGACCAGGAAACCTGGAGAATTTCTGGCATGTGTCCAGTAAACATCTGAAGTGAAACAAAAGTGACTGCAGCCTGGATTCCCAGGAATGCAGGCAGGCGACCTCAGAGCAGAGGTGTGAAGGCTGGGGAGCCACCAGCATGGCATGGAAGTGCTCCAGGCAGAGGGAACTACAAGGGTAAAGGCTATGAAGAGGAACCAACCTGAGAGTTTGAGGAAGAGAAAGATGATGATGAACAGGTGTGGCCACAGTGTGGTAAGTAGGCGGGGCAGATGGAACACGGTCACGTAGGGCAAGGCAGCAACCTGGGCTTTATGTAATGTGCAACAGGAAGCCACTGCAGTTACAGGCAGGGAAGTGAGATGGTCTGGATACTTCTCAGTTAGTGAGTGGGGGGACCTGCCAACTGCTCTGCTGAGAAACTACCTCAATGGCTGTGACAATGAGGCTGGAGGCCAGGGGCTGAACAAGAATGGCTGTCAGGCAACGAGTATGGTAGCAGGGCTCAGCATCCTCGGAGGGAGATAGTGGACAGGGGAGGCCAGCCCCAGCCCGGGTGACAGCAGGAAGCTCTGCTAAGAAGCCCAAGGAAAGGCTAGGAACATGGGAAGCCTGCACTGCCAGCTGGCTGTGGAGCATCATCCCCAAATCAGTGACAGTTCCTGAGAAGACCAGGTCCCAGGGAGATGCAGGAAAGACAAGAAAGCACCCAGACAATGGGAGGTGGCTGATCACAGCAGCATAGCCTTGCTGGGCAACAGGAAAAGGCCACACAAGGACATGCTGGCCACAGGGTGGTCTCTCCACGGCTCCACTTCCTTTTTCTATTCCCCAAGGTTGGTTCCAGAATCAATCCATCCTACTCAGCACATTTCTCAGAACTGGAAGTGCTAAAACTGGTCAATGAAAACAATTTAACCAGTGGGAAAGTGAAACAGAATTACCATATATACACCCATGAATGCTGCAGAGAGCTGATCTGTATGGGGGCTGCCCAGGGTTACCCCAGAAACCAGATCCGGGCTCCTGCTACTGCAAGCTCCAACAGCTGCAGGATAAAACCTACACCCGGACCAACAGCCTAGAAGATGTCCTGGGCTGGAGAAGGGAAGATGAAACCTTTTCAGAACAAGTGGCCAGCATCCTACTCTCATCTTCCTGTGACTCAGACACAGGAAAGACAAACCGAGGTCCTAACACTCACATTCACAGAAGACCAGGGACCCAGCCCGTTGGCCTCTGTCAACCACCAGGGCAAGCTCCTGTCCCCAGCCGGGGTCGGGACGCCAGCGAAGGCCTATCCCAGAATGCAGCCCCGCCTGGAAGGAAGGGGACTATCTCCGCCATCTGGGTGAGGGGCTGTGGAGGACCCCTTCTCTCAGGAATTCCGGGGGCTGAAGACCTTGGCAAGGCCGACAGGCACCAGCGGGCCGAGCATCCTACCCCGAGCCTCGCCGGGGGGCGCGCGGGGACAGGGTGGGTCAGCACCTCGCTGGCGCGGG